GCGGAGCCGGTGACCCAGCCACTCAGCAGTGGTACAGCAGCTGCGGCAACGGGACGTGACGTCTCCGTTCCCTCCTTCAGGGAACGAGGGTTACATACGTAACCGAGACGTTTCGCTTTCACAACAAAACACACAGCGTCTCCACGACATGGCGGCGGCAACAACAATACTACAGCGAGAATTAAAAGTTACGCCTTCTTACTTTGCGTGAATATTTGGGCGGCGTTATGCAAATCTTCCCACATCGTGACGTAGACATGTGGGGGCATGTTAGAACGAGCCATTTTAGGTAGGTGTGGTTGACTCTTAACTTTTATAAAGAATATCTCTTTGGATTTGAGACTTTAGTCTTTGCAACTTTACAGATCTTCTTTATGCACCAATAGCTTGTAACACTTCAAAGAGAAAGGGAAAAATAGAAATCGCAACATATGCTTTTGGAGCTTTGGTGTTGTCGACTTTACATTTAAAAAATTGTTCCACTTGTTTCTTAGTTGAGCACCCAGTTGAGATCTATCTATCTGCCAGGGCTGCTAACTCTAATTTTCTCACATAGTCAAAAGCACCCTCAGTTAAAACTGTAATAATAGGATATTGGCAAACATATATTTGGTAAAGGCTCCAGTGCATATTTGTGTTTGCACTCTGGAAAGTATAAAAAGTTTCTATTTACAAAGTGTTTTTGTAGCATTGAGCGATATAGCCAATCACAGACATGTTTGTTGATTTCTTGAACTCCTCTGATTGACCATTCCGTTCAAGTTAGTCTGCTTTCTAGGCTACATATAATCCATTCAGAATTTGAATAAAAGTAAAATAAATTAAAATAACAAGTAAAATAATTGAAAGAAAGAAAGGTCTTGAAGGAAGAAGATTCTTTGAACCAAACAAATGTTTTTCTCAAATATACAGTATACACAATTATTTGCACCCCTTCATTTAGTACTTTTTGCATACTTTTTCATATTAAAGATTCATCCCTCCTCCGCCTCATCTTCTCTCTCTCAATTATACCTATCCCAACCAAAAATTGCCAGGGTGGGAGGTGGGTACTCTGGGTTTGGGCCAAATTCTGAGCTCGGAGCCCTCCTCCTGGACAGCACACCGATTACACATTTTTAACTTGTTGTGAAGGAACAACATTTGCATCAGTGAGTTGAGGTAGGGAGGAGCTGTTGAAGTCAACTTGTCATCCTCACTGCGTGTAGTGTCTAAAACAGACAAACTCTTGCCTGTGTGTCACCTCACATTTAGAAACAGAATACCAAAAATGAGCCAAGAACATTTTTTTTAAGAATGCAATTTTCATATTGTGTGTTTGTAACAGCAGTGTAAGTTGGATGCAAGCAATGCTGCAGCCTGACTCCATTCCTGACTTTGACTATTGGTCAATGCACTCGCTCTGACCTCTGACTTTGCAGTCATAAATCATCCAACAGGTCACTTAATTGAAGAGCCTGACATGCTGCTTTTTTGTTTTCCGCAATCATTAGATGTAATGCAATTCCTGATAACATGCAACTTGGTTCCTTTTTTATGTGTTTGCAGACCAGGCAGGTGTTAAAAGGCCTGTGTCTGTGTTTGCTGAATTAAAGTCAAGCCACCTTTGGTTATATAGTGCTTTATACAATACAGATACAATACAGATTGCGTCAAAACAGCTTTACAGTATTAAACAGGAAAATAGTGTGTTGATAATGCAAGAGGATGATAATAAACACTCAATTTTCCAGTTAAAGTCAGTTCATCATTGTTTCAGTGATTTCATCGTCCAGCTTAGTTCAAATAATATCTGTGCAATCAAGTTGACTATATTGCCAGAAATTAAGTGTCCCCAACTAAGCAAGCCAAAGGTGACAGTACAAGTAACCAAAACTCCATTGGCGACGGAAATGGAGAACAAATAAAACCTTGGGAGAAGCAGTTGAAATGATGCTAAAGCTCTCTTTATTGATGTTTAACCCTCTGGTTCTCCTTATTTGGGGGTCACACTTATGGTCTTCACCTTCAGACACCTGAAATTTAACTTTTTTTCGCCCCAGTAAAATCAATGTAATATATTTTTGTTCAATAATATTTTTTCATTTTTCTTTTGTATATTGAGATAATTTCATGGCACTAATTAATATTTATGCAATAATTAGGATGAATTTCTGCCCATTCAAAATAATACAAATGTTTTAAATATATATATATTTTTATATTACTTTTCAATGAATGCAGTATTTCATGTTAAAATAGAGTCAGTGCCTTTAAAATCCCATTTTTAAAGCCAGATTAGTGCCATCTGGTGAGAGTAAAATAAGAAAAACATCTGCAATCCTATGGTTTAGTCCATAGATTCCTATATAGCTCTATATAAAAGGCCTGTACATTCTCTAATTGTTTTTAGACATAAATACTTATTTTTATTAAGTTGTGGGTTTGGATATATATTTAGACATTCTCAAAGACAACTTTTTGTAAAAGTTTAGATTTTTTTTTGCTTTGAAATGTTGATTTGAAGCGTCAACTTTTGAATTAGTATTACTACAGTCAAACCTGAACACAGAGAAAGCATTTTGTTAAACAAAACATTAAAATTCTATAAAAATGTAACAAAAATTAACAGAAATGTTTTATCAGAGCTTAATTCTTCTGGGTCTGATCTGATTTCAACCTCTTAGTTCAGTTTTCTGACTCGTTTTGGCTGTTAGTGTGTCTGTTTTGCACTCTTGATGTTTTAGAGTGTAACCCCTTCCTTGCTGTCCACTTTTTTACTGCATTGTAGTTGAATTATTGCTTTTATTTGTTTATTTGACATATTTACTGTGTTACAGTCACACCAGTTCATAGGTGTGTGTGTGTATAAGTGTGTGTGTATGAATGGATGTGTTGGTTTTGCACTCTTGATGTTTTAGTTTCACCCCGTCATTGCTGTCCACTTTTTTACTGCATTGTAGTTGAATTATCGCTTTTATTTTACATATTTACTGTGTTACAGTCACACCAGTTCATGGGTGTTTGTGTGTATGCATGTGTGTGTGAATGGATGTGTTGGTTTTGCACTCTTGATGTTTTAGTTTCACCCCGTCATTGCTGTGTACTTTTTTTCTGCATTGTGTCAGATTTGTAGATTGTCCACACAAAAATTCTAAATTGAAAATTGGAACACACTCCCAACAGCGGAATCTATTGCAGTCTTAACAAAAAAAACAAAAAACAAAACAAAGCACACAATGTAATTAACATGAAGACTAAAATAATGAACTTAATCACATTACATTACAACTATTTAATTCTATTTTGAAATGTTTGTTTTTCAACAGAATATCACTCAATTTGCACGTCCTCGTTCATCAGAATTACATCTCTAAAATGCATTAGCAACAAGCATCAAGCTCAATAGCTCTGTTAAAGTGCAAGAATATTGACGGTAAATAATGATTTGATTTTGCTGTGGCTTGCAGGCCGAGCACCAGTGCTGTCGGATATCCCATCATCCATGTGGAAAACTCCACCCTTGGTGACATCAGTGATGATGACAGGAACTCTGGGGAGTATTACAGCGGAGATGAATTTAATGAGGATGATGTCATGCTGGCTACAGACAGGTATTGCTAGAAAACGCTTTTCAGAAAGTGTATATCAACAGTAGCCGTTATCTTCATTTTCTCTTGGTTCCTCTTGAAGGTCATACTTTCAGGACACTTTGAGTGATGGTGCTCCAGCTGGACAGCAGGATGCGTGTGAATGCGTCTGTGATGATGGTGAGCAGCTCATATCCCAGCAGCCCCAGAGGTCCTCAAAACGACTCCTGCTGTCCACAGCTCAATGTGAGATATTAGAAAATAATCATGAACTTTTTACAGTGTCACACTGAAACTAACAGAAAAGTGAGAACTAGCATTACTGTGGGAATAAACATCAGACTGAATGGTTCCTCAACAAGCTGTAATCATAAATGGATATATGGTTACATTGATCTATTATGGTACGGGTCCTTCACTTCCAAATATTCAAAGCATTAATGTCAGTGTTCGAGAAATATATTTTCTACCAATATTATGGTGGCCACATCGGAAATGTTTACGGGAACTGCAAAGTGATGAACATGGCTGGGACATATTTATCAATGTTTCAGGTTATGTAAGCTGGCTAACTTTTACAACTTCTCTTACAAAAACTAACCATTGCCTATGGTTTTACTATTAAAATTAATTAATGAATAAATACATTTATTATATAAAAAAATTAATAAAAACGAAAATGAAAATGGTTGCTATAGTTAAACCATGGTAACCTGCACAAATTAACCATGGTATTTGTACAGCTGTGGTCATACAAATGGTAATCAATACGCCAAAAGATGCTTAATTTTCATTTTGTTGGGGTAATTTTGTTGTGGTCTGTGTTACTTGAGCGTTTCTGTATTTGTTTCTTTTGTGAGCATTTGCAGCGCGTCTCTGGTTGTGTTTTGAGTATTTGCAGCACATGTGCTGTCAAACTGATGAAGATGTTTTCATAATTTGCTGGTGCTTTTTCTATTTGCATATGTTTTCTAAAGTTGCAACACGTTGAGCTCTCAGCCACCGTACAATATATTTAAAGCATTTATTTGTCAATCTAAGAATACATTCAACATAGGTCACATTTGAAGAAAAACTATTTGTTGTCTATAACATGAGCAAACATATAACACATTTTAATAAAATTCAGTAATGCACATACTTTATTATATTACAATTTCTAAAAAAAAAAACTATATTAAATCATAAATGTAGTTTTGATCTCTAATAGTAGGATTATAGTGGCTAGTCTTCTTTAAAAACTTTCTTTAGCCCCTTAGAGGTTAGCGGAGGAGTCCTTATATACTAATACAATTTCCTTCTATACTTAAATTGGAATGTTTTGAAATACAGAATAAATAAAACTTAATCTCTTCAAGTTCATATTTCGGTTAGTGCACAAGAATCTAAATATGGCTCCTATAAGAATATTCCATCCACATTTGCAATTACAGTTCTAAAACAAATGAAAAAAGAAAAGAAAAAGGCAACAGTGACGCCCGAAAAAATTGTCTGTGAATTTTGTTCCGGTTCAGCCTTCAGGGCAAAGATTTCTCACAACAGCTATAGTTTATTGTACATTCCTCCATTATAATAAATATGCATCTATTGATGTATGTGCATTCTTCCATACAGCCTCTCACAAACCTGCTTTCCATTTTGAGTGTCTGCGCAAACAGAACAGCCAAGATGAGATTCCCCTGCATCCAACAGGCCTGCAGCATCAGGTGATAATGACATGACCCCCAACACTATCACCAACATAATAGATTAAGAGCAGGGGTGAGACACGACCTGTGACGTGTATGTAAAGTGGAGTGTTGGGAAGGTTACTTATAAATGTAATAGGTTACAGATTACAAGTTACCCTATCTAAAATGTAATAAGTAGTGTAACTGTTTCAATTACTCTATTAAAGTAATGTAACTGATTACATTTGATTACTTTTTGATAACTTTTATACATTTCTAAGGAATGTTTTAAACTGTTAATCATTTTCAGACATGTAAAGCAGGCTGGGTTAACCATACAGTAGCACTCAACACTGATTAATGTCAGACTTTCAGAATCCTTCATCACTTGAATTAAGTTGAATTAAGATTATAATAATTTAATATTAAAGCACAGCCACCACAAAATCAGACTTTAGCATCGCTTTTTACTTTGAGATTGTTCTAAGGTTAAATACAGATTTAAAATCATAACAAGATATAGTTTAATAGCTATGATACTGTTTTTGAAATCAAATCTTTGCAACAGGAAACACTGGCATCTAACAATGCTCTGGAAAAAATCAGTTAATCTTAAAAAATAATGCATATACATCAACCCAAATAGGAAAAAAAAAACCAAGCATGTGTCCTATTCTGTGTCCTAAACTCCTGAAACATTGGAGTTTCATATTTTAGAGCAGTCAGTGCAATATGGGAAAGAAATCAATCAAATGTGACCCTGCAGCACAAAAGCAGTCATAAGCAGTCATATTTGTAGCAATAGCCAACAATACATTGTATGGGTCAAAATGATCAATTTTTCTTTTATGGCAAAAATCATTAGCATATTAAGTAAAGATCATGATCCATAAAGATATTTTGTAAATTTATTACCGTAAATATATCAAAATTTAATTTTTGATTAGTAATATGCATTGCTAAGA